CTCGTTCGGCAGCGGGAGGGCCAAGGAGAGGGGCGGAATGTGCGCGTTTCTCTTCCTCCCAGCCCCTCCTGGCTCCAGCCTCAGCAGCGCCAGCATAAATTAAATCCAAGTGCTGCTGCTGAGGCATCACAGGCATATCGGAGCCGATCACGCCCTGTCCGCCCGGCCTGGCTTTCGAGGCTGCGGCGGCTTCCCCGCCAGCCTTATCCCGGTGTCCTTCTCCCGGCAGTAGCACGGCCTGGCACGGCTGTGCCTAGGAAACGGGTGCGGGGCCCGGTGCGCTGCTCAGGCTCCCCTCGGGGAGATCTCTATCCCGACGTGTGGTAGAGTCAGGGAGCTGCGGCTGCTGCCGCTGAGCGCTCCACCGCGCCGCTGTTCTCAGAGCAGGCAAAAATCGCTCGTGGGCGAGTCTCTGCAGGCATCGGGCAAAGCGGTCTCGCTGGGACATTTACAGGGAGCTGGAGCCTGGGAAGAACAGCAATTAGGGGCCACACTATGCACCAGGCATTGACTCAGGGGCTCGTTCGAGGACCATTTTCTGTGAAAGGAAGAATTCTGATCTACGTCCTGTAGGTAAAATGTTTCACTGAGCAAGTAAAGGAAAAATAAAGCACATCATTTATCACACCTGACATTTTCCACTAAGTTACATAAATGCTGGTGGTGCCATACTGTCAGCAGTATGTGAAGATGTAGTCTCAGCCAGACACGTCGTATTCTTAAACCAAAAGAAATAAACTAGGTTTGCCAAGTAGATGAGAGGAAAGAAATAATTCCTATAAAAAGGTTTCTTAAGAAACCCGCACAGTTTCTATGGGAGCACAGACAACTTTCATTTCAGAGCTTTCCACAGGACAGGACCAAAAGATGCAGCCGTTGCAAGTAAAACCATAAATACGAAAAGCCCACTAGTGTACAGAAGGTTACTGCTGGTTAGTGTGTGATGCATTTTTATATTTCAGAAACTCTTAATTAAAGTAAGCAACTGGGTGCACTGAGTCACCTAATCTAGTTGAAGATGTCCTTGTTCATGGCAGAGGGGTTAGACTAGGTGACCTTGAAAGGTCCCTTCCAATCCAAACCATTCTATTGCTTCTATGATCTTCCACTGCATTTGGGATTAAGTTACCAAACTTCTCACTAAGATTTCTAATTCTATTATATTTTTCTATAAGCCAAAATTATTTTACTCTACACAAGGGGAAAAAGCTCAAACAATTCAAGCCACTTGCATAAATTTCCACTGAAATGATAAAGTCTGTTTTAGCTAAAAGCTGTTTGTACCAAACTGTTATCTAACTTAGCCAGCTTCTTGTGTCTTTTCAACAGACTCTTGTGTCTTTGTTACCAGTGTCCTCCCAATTTGTGTTCTTGTTGTATTTTGTAGGGGAGGTTTTCATATATCAAGCAGATTTAAGATACTCTTTAGTTCCTTGAAGAAGAACCCATTCTTAGCCCTGCTGGGAGAAGCTACTTATGTTTCTACAGGAGTAATGGTTTACAGACTGAGATAAGGCCTGTACAAACAAATTACTTGTGTCAGACCACAGAATACATTGGTAAAGCAAACAACTGGGTTTTTGCATCCTTGGAAGGGGGAAAGCAGCTAAAAGAAAGGAGGAATACCTGTTCTTTTATGTAGTATTTAATCTATTTAAAGATGCTGATTATTAATATAGCTTGCCCTTCCTATTAAAAGAACCTCAGGTGTTTTCTGGTATTATCCAACTAGTTCCACAGTGATTTTTCTCTAGTCATCCAAGTCATACACAGGTCTCAATAGGAAATGTTCATCTTGTGTTTCTAAATTAATGACAAATCAATGAATTAGTGTGGATTAAATATTTTCTCTAGTACTAGCAATTTCACATACCAAATATTTTAAAAAGAAAACAATTGATTCAAATGTAAGGTTCAAGTTAGTGAATTTTACAATATCCTTTCTGCCAAGCAAGGATCAGTCACACAACTTCTAAAGGCTCAAGTTAGGGATTAGCAATTTTAACAATGATTTCTTAATGTTTCTCATCTTGATTCTTGTCCCTTAGGTCAATGTTGTTCATATAACAGTATCACATATCAGTACCTTTTAACACTGGTGTTAAATACCTGTGAAGGAGTTTGAGATGCCGAAGCACTGCAGGGTCAGGCCCCACACATTTAGAAGTCCACAATGGCTCCTACAGAGAACAGGAGGTGCATGCTACTGATTACTCCTTTATCACTGGTTTGGGGAAAATACCATTGAGTTATATGAAATTAAATTGCCTGAAGTATAAGCAGAGAAAGTGTTTTCAACAAGAAAAGAGATGCTGGGATATGTGTGCTTTAAAACCACTGAATTATAGCCCAAGGACAGAGAGTGGGTGTTTTTGTTTGTTTGTTTGGCTGGGGTTTTTGTTTGTTTGGGGCTTTTGGTTTATTCTTTATTAAGTGAGGGCGGCTATTTGGTGATGCTACCACCGAAGGTAAAACTTCACCTCTGAATGCTGTATGATTAAGTCACAAGCTCAGATAACAAAAATTTGGAATTATTCCATACCTTTCTCAAAGCTGGCATCAACCTGTGCTTTTTCATTCTGAGCAGCTTGCAGGGCCAGAGTATTCAGATACAATTGCCCACAGATAGCCCACATTTGTGACCTAATTCTTCTTCGCTCCCTGTAGCAAATTCCATCTGGAGAAACAGACCAATACATTACTTTAAATACTCCCATCTGATTGTGCCTTCTGTATATTATTTTTACTTGACATGACCACCCTCATCAGCTCTAAAGGTATAAGTCTTCAAATTTTCATCAAGTGAAACACCAACATGAAACACCTATGCAAGATGAAGAGAACCAAAATACTTAAACATGAAACTTGCACATCCCTACAAACTCCTAACTCTTTGATATTTGAAAATTGATATCATTTTATGCACTAGAGAGTAAAATGGATTCCAAGTTGTTGATCATTAACCACACACACACACCTTTTAAGTGCACATGATTTGGAGGAGGTTTCCCCAGCAGGCTCCATAGTCATATAGGATTTCCTTTATCAAGTGTTCAATGACTGTTTTGATTTATAAATTACTGAGTTCAAGGGATTGTACACAAAAGATGTCTGAGTCTCTGAATAGTTTGGTATAGATGTTCTTGTTTTGGACAGAATTGTTGCAGTTAAGCTGTGAGTCCTTTGGGTTCTTCCTAAGAGCAAATGATTCAGATGCTATAGTTACTAGGTAATTAGAGAAAAATTGTCATGCGTGTTCTTTATGAAGGTTAATTGGGTGCTTAAATGTTTTTCCCCAAATAAGATTAATGACAAATATCTGCTTTGCACAGAGACACATTCTAAATATCCTGTATACTGCACATGAAGGAGCAGACACTTTGCAGATGTACAAAATGTTTTTATTCATAGGACATGAAGATTTGTTTTACTTTTCTCAGAGGAATGATGCAGAAAAATTACCTTGCTGAGATTAAGCAGTCTAATTTTAAAGCCTAGAAAAGTGTTAATCACGAGATACAGGCTGTGAGTGAAGCCTTAGACTCTGCATACTTAGAAAGCAGAAAACTCCAAACCCTTTTAAATTTCTCTATACTGTGCATAATTTAGGAATTATTCTTCTTACTTATCAACATTATAGGATTATATCAAAGTAAAACAAAAAAACCCACCACCACTATCTCCAACCAAGCTAAAACAAAAAAAAAATATCCACCACACCAAATCCTTGAAAGAAAAATTCTGTACAGATACAAAGTATAATTCTAGGATTTAAAATGCCAGGTTCTGGTTTTGTCAATTTAGCAGGTTTACAATGCTTATACCTAGAAGACATATTATTACAAATAATTTTGGTAGCTTTCTAATTGACACTAGTGCAAATTTTTAAATACACTACTTCATCGAAGCATAAAATCTTGGACTGATGATCACAGGCATTTGGTACTATCTCCTTGTTATGTGGGAAATTTGGGAACCAAAACAGTTTCTGTAGTTACCCTGAAATGATTGCCCATACTGAAAAATCTGAAATGGTTTTATAAAGTTTTTATATAAAGTTTTATAAAGGTTTTAAAAAATATATCCCTGTTGAGTATGCTCCTTTGGCTTTCCTGCTCTAATTTCAAGGTTCTCCTTTTTATTATAAAGCTGGTAAAGACAGATGCTATGTTTGTCACATCTTAAGAGGCCTCTTAAAACTCTCTCATGAAAATAGGGAAATGCAAAAACAATTAAGTCCAGTATACATAAATAGCAGGATGACAGCTGTGATAGTCTTTAGAATAAAATCTTTTATTCATCAATAAAACTATAGTTTACAGTAGTATTTTCTAAATAAATTATAGAATTTCTCTTTTACAAGAAATAAACAAAATCAAAAATATTTCAAGGACAATATATGTACACAACATAAGGCCTTATTATAAATAACATTTTTATCTCCTTTTTACCAACAGTGAAAGTATCTTTAGAGGTTCATTTTCATATGGTATGTGCAGATATTTGCCCTAACCCTCATACAACATCAGTACCAATTTCCACTGATGTGGACCTAAGTGATTAGAACTGAGAGAGTCAAAAAAATTAAATTGATTTTATTCACCACTGTGTTTATTTTAAAATAGGTAAAGTAGGTAATCAATTTTGCTTGTGCATAGTTACAGAATGCATGCAAATGAAACCACTAGAGAGCTGATAAGAAAATATCACTTCAAAATCCAAAAAAAGTGATTGGCAATTTTGTAGAAAGCAGCCTGAATACACAGGTCTTCACAGTTGAGCAAGCAACAGCAGATGACAGCAGTGTGGAATGTTTCATGTCATTTTTGTCAAGTCCATCAATCTTTTCTATGGTTCAAAGATCCTGGCATTTCTTAGAATAAGTTCCATTGATTATTACTCTGTCTATTAGGCTCAGCAAATTCCTCCTTCTTAAATGAGGACTGCAGAAAGTGCTCTTCATTAACCATGGTCACTTCTCTTAGTTTTACTCTTCATGTATTCTTTGTTACTGGAAATACAGAATTGACAAGTTAAGAGTTGTGTTTACTTGTTTTCTTACAGAATTATAAACAGGTAACATCTTTCTTCCCCTAAATGGGCTGCAGTACAACTTGGCAGCGATTCTCTCATGACCCTGACCCATAGTCAGAAGCACTGGGTCTCTTGCACAGCAGCTAACCCCTATGTGTTTTACAGGCATTGCAGTATTACATGAACTAGAACTACTTGCTGCTGTAAAATGCTGAACACTCTGGATGTCAGAGAAGATAGAACAATCTGACAGCACTCAGCAATTCACAACAGCTTATTTTTATCTTGCAGAACTGTGGTATTTACTACTTTAAAGTGGCAATCTTAATACATCATGAATAAAAGTGCTGTCAGCTTCCGCATGACACTCTTTCCCCAGATGAAAAATCAAACCTATCAAAAAACTTTCAGGCACAATAAATATTATAGTCAGTGTTGTAGCAATCATCCTATTTCACAAAAAAAAATAAAGGTATCTATGTAAAATTAGCTAATAATGTTGATGGAATAGTTTTCTATGTCATAGAAATAATTGATCA